CCTTGTCTCTAGATGACGTATCATCTTCAATCGAATGATTAGTTGCCCCAGGATAATATGCGTAGAGGATTCTTTCAGGAGAACAAATGGATGCTTTTCCAAGCGAATCGATATAAACTGCATCATCAGGCATATTACGCCACAAAAAACTAATACAGTCTGTCTTCTATAAAAACAAAAGAGACATTCACCTGGTGATAAAGAGTGTGGAAATTGGCCAAAAAGGAATTGGACCTTTGAAAGAGACGCCAGACAGGTGATGGGCTTTATAGTTCAACCCATTTACAGTCTTCGATATCAAAACCGGGTGTATTAGAATAATAAACACCTCTAGCACGTGTATCACGATCAGAAGAGATCTTTGTGAGAGGAGGACCCCAAAGATCAGAGCTGGAAAGAACATGATGTAATGCATTGGGCTCGCGTCAATATGCTCATCAGGCTTCTTCTTTCTTTGCTTAGAAGCTTTTTTTCTCTCCATGAATTCACTAGGGGAATAAAGACTAACTGTTGTCGAACAGATTAGGGAACGCAAAGCTGTGAAGAGTTCCCCTGATTGAATAGCCGGATGCCCCGGTGTAGCAACCACATCTGACATTGGTTAATAAGGATGGAGAACTGATGTAAGATCCTACAGTAAATGGGAACCATTTGCTGCAGCAATAAGTGCAAGATTGTTGACATCATTATCAGAGTTTCCATGACCTGGCTTATCTGAGTCTTTAATCAATTATCTTCCTGCTTGAAGAAGTTTCTGACTACGGGCCAAAGCTTGTATGTATATCGCTCGGATTTATCCCATAACTAATCCCTGAACAAGTGCAGTGAGAGGTCAAGTTGAACCTCTGAGGAGAACACATGGTCTGAGTAAGAATCCCCCAATCTTCGAGTACTTGTTATGAATGCACGAATATGCATGGGGCACATGAATGAATTCCATGTCATGTTCTGCGATTTCCAAGGAATTTACATGCTTTGATTTTGATTTTGCGTAAGTAAGGGATGGAAGAATTTAGCATAAGGCTTGCAAATTTTATTCCCTCGAAATAACAGAACATGTATGTTAAGCATGTGGTTAACCATGTTATGTATGCAAAGGCATGAGATCAAATGGGATCAAGGTTCCATCATTTTTGAATATGATTGTTACACTGTTCTAAACCATATGAGTATCATCAAGTCAAAGGTCTGGCGTAGTTTCCGCACATATAAGAACCAAGTACCATGTAGATCTCCCATTGTACGGATCAAGGCTTCTGGAGCATCAGATACCGTTGAGCATTTCCTGAATATGCCGGGAATACCAAGATCGAAGGCTCGAATAAAATCTCCAAGTAAGCAAGTCAGGAACTCAGAAAATAAATCCGAGAACCATATGGTCACCAACAGGATATAGCATCTGCATAAAGTCATAACAGAAATCCAGAACATAGCCATTAGAACCAATAGTCACTGTCTGAGCATAGTCTCCATCTGCACCTGTGATAAAAAAAACCCTCCCCACTCACGGGTGAAGACTAGGTCAGGGTAAGACAATGGTAACTCGAAAATCACGGGTTCGCTTGAAAGTAAAATCATTGCAACACAGACGTGCGTGATGAAAGTACCTCCAATTGAACCTCATCTGAGCCGGTATATGACATGACTGCACTAATCGGACCACGTCCTATAGCCGTTATGCCCCCACTCTATTCCTAGTGTCCTAGTGCACTCTGGCCTGGGTACTGGGCCTTTTACCTCAATAGTAACATCCCAACCCAATAAGAAGCAAATCCAGTACAACAGTAGTATACGAAAAACAGTAAAATGTAATGCATACATATGCTCAAGTATATACAAAATGAGTGAATAAACTGAAAGCATAAAGATAAACACCCAAAGAAAAGAAAGCAAGAGCTAGGAGCGAATCCGGGATGGACCAACATTTGGTCGACCAAAAATTCCCCAGTGAAGTCGCTAGCTGAAACAACCGGCTGAAAATCATCAAACTATGAAGTCGCCATCGAACGTCTTTTATCCCACATGGAGGGAAAGGTAAACATTGAGAAAACCTGAGAAGGGAGAAGTCACGGTCTTGCGACCGAGAGATAAGGGTAATGGAGTCTATTATGCGAGGGGAAGGTATTAGCACCCCACACGCCCATAGTACTCTACGGTATCCACTCTTGTTGTCTATCTTATGGATGTGTCTAATCTATGCTTACTATTTGCTATACTACTGAAGGGAGAATGCATGCTAAAGAAAGGGGGAAAGAATGTATGGAAAATAAAATTGTGCTCGCTTGGGTCCTACCCTAATGCCTACGTATCCGTTTTGAGGCATTAAAGCAGCCGTAGTTCGGCTCATATGTTTTTGTTTGTTTTGTGTTTTTTTATGGACGAAGTTAATTCCTCCTTCTACCGCAGCTCGACCTTTGGAGACTTATGCGTTGGCACAGAAGTAAATTAATCGTGTCCTTACCTGAAAAGGGTTTTAGAGAAAGGTGCTCGAGCGCATAAAAGATTTGAATTGGTTTGTATTTTCGTTGCAGATAAAGACTAGCTGACCTCAAGAGAGAGATATTAGCCACTTTTCTAGTTATCCATGAAAGGGGTCTTTGAGACTTGAACCACACCTAGGCTTGAGATGAAGAACAATAAGATCGAGAAGAGACCCGCTTATCACTTCCCATACTAAGCAAAGGCATGATTCTCATCAGTAGTTTTAAAATGTTTTGAATTTTGAAAACAAGAAGTCTTTGTTTTAAATGCATATGCAAAAAGGGAAAGAAAAGTTAAAGGGAGACTAGCCTATTTCTAAACCTAATTTTATCATGCATTGTTAGACCTAAAGTTAGAATTTTGAGGGAATTCTACCTAATGTTTGCATGCTTGGATTTATAATCCTAATGTCCAATTTAGTTCAATTAAATCGAAGATTAAATTTGAACCAAAATATCCTAAGGGATCATGGTATGTACAAGGATAACGCAATAAAACTAATAAGCAATAAAGTGCGAAAATGAGGAATAAAATGGGGTCACGATGATACCGAACAGAGAAGTTCCGTTGCCTCTTCATAACCATGCAAACAAAAAGAAAACTCTACCAAAAGCTTCCTCGAATTTACTTGATGACAATTATGCTCTTGGCTAGCTTTAAAGCTTCGTGAATTTCTCTCACAATTATCACTTGATCAATTAAAAACCAATCACGATAATTATACAGAGAAAATAAAGTCCAAGCAATTAAGAGGTGCGTACAACGTTCTGGAGGTATAATCCAGCAAATCAATATATAGCACTAAGCCCAACCCAAAAAATAGTCCATAAGCCTCATTTTTGTTTACCTCTTTCAGCTTATCCAAAAAAGTACATACATGGGCTTGATGGGATAGTGGCAAGAGAAGCCCAACAGAAAACACAATAGTCCCACACCATCACCCCAATTCAATTGTTCAACATTAACAAAGAAAATGGGTAAACGGTTTAAACATTGTGTTTTGAAAGCTAGGGTTCATTGGGATTCCAAAAACTTCTCTTCTTCTCTCACAATCAGACAGCGCGACGACTTCATCTCTTCTGGCGATCTTTGCCGTATTCTGTTTTAACTGCTCTCAGTTCCGGCTCAACCTCCTTCACTGGTTCAAACTCACACAAACACACGTCACACGTTCAGATATAAATGACCACCATCAAAACTTTGAAGCTAGCGGCGTCCAATTATTGTTTTCAAATATTCAAGCAACGATTTACATGGAATTATGTAGGAAAGGGAGATATCAACATTTACCTATCGGAGTTCGTCTGGTGTGTTTTGACAATGACAAAATAGAAAATTAGTGAACTATCGCTCCAGGTACGATTGCGCCTTGATTCCGTCTTCTTCTTCTCCGATATGTGATGCATCACTGTCTTTGTTCTCCATGCAACTTCCGTTGTTTTCTCGTCTGGGTTCGCATTTTCAAAAACCACTTTGCTCCGCCATAATTTTCAGCCTCTGATTCTCCTTTGGACAGAGACAAGAAGCCTCTTAGTAATGACTCTTATGATACTAACTCCTTCTCCTATACTACTTCAATTTACGCTTTTATGATTCTTGGATTCCCATTTTCGGTTTTGCAATTCTCTGTGTTTTGTTGTAGATGTGTGACGAATTTGATGTAATGTTGTGATATCCCTTGATGAAGGTTGTGCGAGTTGATGCAGGAAGATGAAATTGTTGAGAGTAGAAGATAATTGGAGGCACTGCTATAGAGTTTGTTACAGAAGCTTGAAGGATTACAGAAGCTTGAAGGATTACAGAAGCTTGAAGGGTTGATGAAATTTAAAGAAGATTCAACTCGGTTCTCAGAGAGATAGAGAGATTCTGGTGAGTATTTGTGAAGCTTTTTTCTTGGTTTTTTTCTTCTGTGAATTCTTGCAGAGTGAATCCCCCGCCGAATCTCCTTCCCTCTCTTCTTCTGTTATATATATTGCTGAGGGCTTGGGATTTTGTTACAAAATCAGTTGGTTGTTTGGTTAAGAGATGAAGAATTCTGTTGTGAGTTTGTTATGGAAGTTAGAAGGTTATTGGTTAGGAGGGCCAATTGGGAATTGGTTAGAATTAGTTGTTTTTGGATTGGTTAACTGTTTTTTGTGAGTTTGTTATATGGTGTAGAGTTGGACAACAGTTAGGAGATTTTGTTAAAGTCTGTTAGGAATTTTTTAGAGGGTGAGAAGGTTAGTTGGCTGTTATGACAGTCGGTTAGAGGTTTTAGATGGTTAGAAACTGTTAGGATACTGTTAAAAATCAGTTTGGAAATTAGCTATGCCAAATGTTAGGATGACAATTAGGCTATCTATTAATGTTATAGGTTAACAGTCAGGGTGGTTTAGTTAGGAGATTGGTTAGAATTTATTAAAATGTTAGTAGTTAGTTATAGTTCAGTTGGAAGTTGTTTATGAATTCTGTTAGAAACTGGTTAGAGCTGTAACACTATTTTCACAATTTTTTTCAAATACTTTTCCTGATATTTCCTTTTATATTTTCTGATTATTCTTGATTTCGTGAACTGTGGAAACCTCTTGTTTCTGATTTGCTCGGTTATACCATCTGCTAGCTTTAACATTTGGTTTGTTTGAAACTCCGTTTTGACAATTAGGATTAGTTTGAATCGGTTTGAAGTTAGGCTTAGCATAAATCTCATTAGTTTCTGCTTCTGTTTTTTTTGCAAGGCTGATCGTTGGTCTATTATGCCAAGTTTGAAACAGGATTCATAACAGCGACTGCCTTAGCATGGTACAAAGGACGTCTTGGAGCGGTATTTATCAAGTCTTTTTGGAACTTATTTGGCCTGATTTAGACAATTTGTAGGCAGAACTACCTTGGTTTAACCGCCAGTTTGATTTGTATATTTGAAAGAAAACATGGCACTTGATTGAGACACGAAGGCGGAGAGTATGGTAAGCTTGGCTTCATATTCTCACATGGTCTTTTGCCAATCCTTGCAATAGCCACGATATTCATATTTTGAGCTTCTCGCCTTATTATTGGTGTAATGACTTGAGTTTGTAAATGACAATGGTGTACTCTAACACTTGGATTTTGAACAAACTTTCCTTGACATTTTGCATGTAATTGTAGCTCTTGATCATGAATACAGTTTAAAATCTTTAGAATTCAATATCAATCTTTTTAAGTATTCCAAAGTGTATGTCCTTCCCCTTCAAGTTGAATTTGAATTTCACTTAATTGCCTTTTGACCTTGTAAATGAATGCCCGTTTCATTGATCCTGAAATACCATTGATGGAATAATAATGAATATCGCGAACTTTGATGATGAATGTGTTGGAACCATAATTTCACAATATTCTTTCTTTCCCCAATATTTCACGCTTATCACGACTCGAAAATATTAATGAACGTGAATACCCATGCACCAAAACCTTCTTCAAATTTCCCTTTTGACATTTAGAGTTTTCTTCTTGATTTTGCAATATAGAATGAATCTCGAATGAAACTTGAATGCTTATGAATTTTGTTTCAATCAGGAATCTTGAATCTCAATCAAACTTCATTCTATGTTTGCACCAACGGATCCATATATGAAAACCCCAATAGCTTAAACTTAACTTTGAAATGATCTTTGTATCAAATCCACAATATTTTCTTGCAAAGAACTTAACCAAATGAAATAGCCTTCTCCTGATGATCCACAACACTCAATTGTGAGGTGCGCTCCATGAATGTCAGAAAACTAAAAGCTCCATATCCATTTGATAACCAATAGCACAACAAAGCGAATCCTGCCCGTGAATAAATCTTAGGCCCCATGCCTTGTTTTGAAGCAAATCACTATGCAAAATTCCAACTTATGATCGAGGATCCCTGAAGAAGAACCTCTATCATAGTATGTGTGATCGGTGGGAATGAGAACTGACTGTTTTGGAATGCTGGTTCGCGTATGTGTTTGTTTTTGCAAAATGTCGCGGTAAGCAAGAGTCGCCACCGTCTTTTATTTTATCCAACAAGGAAAGGACAAAAGCACAGAAAAATTCCTTTTTGAGATATTTCTCGGGTTCGGGAGGTAGATTATAGAAAGGGAAGGTGTTAGCACCCTTTCTATCCGTGGTTATCCATGGGCTCTTAAGTACTTGCTCATTGTGTTTTCAAAAGTTTGATTTTCTTTGTGTTTGTGGGTTTGAAAGAAGTTTTTTGTTTGAAAGGAGTGTAAGTGCGAAAAGTTTTGTTTTGTTTAAAAAGGAGCAAGTACTTAAGAACCATCTACCTACTCGAAAAGGGAATTAAACTATGCAATTGTCCTTTAGACAATGCTATCCCACTATTGAGGAGTAGGTAGCATCGTCGTTGGAGTTTTCGGGTCAATTCGATTAAGGGACGTGTGGTCACTAAAGCAATGTTAGGACGCCTTAGCGGTAACCCTAATGTCTTAGATTATTTTATCCGAGGCAACCGTTTCGAGGAAACTATGATCTTTGGACAAGAGGGCGACCTCTAAAACTTCCTATACTCAATGACCATGTTCGAGGCAACCAAGTGAGGTGTACCCTAAGAGTGGCACGTGCAAGTGTGTTAGTTCGGTTAATTTTTATCTGTACATGTTAATGGTGAGCTATGTTGATTTTAGGTTAAAGATTGATCTTGTCATGCATTGCCTAGTTATCAAACATCTAACAATTAATATTGTACGGAAATTAAATTGCGGGAAATTAAATCTAAGCTATTACAAGGCGTCGGGTATTTACATCGCCAAAAGCAAACCCTTTAATTTAAATTGCAGAAAATAAAAATAAAAATAAAGCGATAAATTAAAGTGCTATTAAAACTATTACATACCAGAAGCAATTACAATATTGGAAATAAATAGATCGCGTGCGAAAATTAAATCGACGCATTTTTAGGGTTTTGACCCTTTTTTATTTAAAGAAAGGATTTTTTGTTATTTTTGAATTAAGTGGAAATTAAACTAAGTTAATTAATTAATTAAATGAAAAATATATTTTTTTTGGATTTTTTTAAATATTTAAGGAAATAAAATAAAAAAAGAGACTAAATTTATTAAAAACCTAATATTCTAAATTGATTTTAATTTATTGTGAAAATATTAAATGTTACACCTATTTAAAACTAAATAAATTATGTTAATATTTATTTAAAAAAAATAAAATAATGAAATTAGTTTTAATAAATAAAAATATTATATTTTTGTTTTCTGATTTTATTAGGCAAAATAATTTGGTTAGTATAATAATAATAATTAATAAAGACAAATAAATAAAAAAGTGAAATATGAAAAGAAATAACCAAATATGGGGGGTGCTGGGCCCAAATTGGGTGTGAAATCAGCAATTTCCAGGCCCAAACGTGAGCAGCCTTGTTGACTTTTTTGATTACCCACGCGCATGCTGACTTGGACATATGGTAGTCCTTCATTCCTGGCCACTGGATTAGATCTGAAGCCACTTGGACAATATCTGGATGAGGGCGTATGATGCACTGCAAAGCCTGAAACGCATGCAATGGCCTGGAGAAAAACAAGACAAATATACTAGGGGACCTGGGATTCAAACCCAGGTCCCAAGGGACTTTGACACGCCTCCCTTGCCAACTCAACTGGCTTGTTCAATTGTTAATGAAATACATAATAAATATTATATTGAAAACATAACACTATGCCTGAAAATAAAAAAAAATGGCGCAAGTTTTGAATGGACCAATGGGAAGAAGACACGTCTTCGTCTTCCCCATAAATCCCTGGTTTGTTTCCTGCGGATTTGGATCCGCAACAAAATTTATGGCTCAATCCCAGAATCATCCCTAGGCCATAGAAACGACTTTTGGGACCATCACTTTACTCGTCTCTCTTCCCTGAACTCAACCATGTCCATGGTTTGCCTTAATTTCACCTGTAATTGAAACGCCTAAAAGCAAAGCAAGAAAACCCTAGGTTCGGGCATTACAATATAGGCCATGAAAATGAAATTGAATATTACAAAACGCTTAGAAGTTATACAAGGAACAAGAATATGCTAATATTTTGTCAAAAAGATGCAAGAATGATGAGTTACATTTTCGTGCACAGGGCCATATTCGTGAGTACTTACAACGCGTTTCAAGTTGTCTCAAGGCCTGGTTTTGGTTGCTATAGCTTCAGGAGATTGCAGGCAAGCGAGCTATGTGGAGATTTGGCTTTGAATCATGCTCTAAGGTGGATTTCAGATTCCAAGTTTTCAAGCTTTTTCTCAAACTTTGTCTGGCTGTTTCTTGCAGTTTTTGGTCGTGTTCTTGTTATGGCTCGCTTGTGTATGTATATTGGAATGCATTTAGGTCAAAACTTGGGCTTGAATCCATGGGAATTAAAGAATTGAGATATGATTTGATCTTCCATTATCAAGTTTCCAAAAATACCTCAAATCAAATTTTGTGCACAACAATGCTTGATACGAATTTGACTGAGTGTATCCTGATATTTTCAAGCTGTAATGATCAAAAGAATCTCATTCCATTAATTTTTGGATTTTATTTGAATTAATATAGATTTAAAATGAATTAAATCAATAAAAATCAAATAAAATAGAAAAATAAATGATTGGTCATGAAATTAAAGATAGGACACGTGTGTGGTGTGATAAGACCAAATCAAGTGGAAAAAAGTGGGCCCTTTTGTCAAAAATTGGAGTTTGGAGGATAGTTGACGTTTGGCAATTTTGGAAAAATGCCCAACTTCAACAATGCATAACTTCTTCAATTTTGAACTTTTGGAAGTTTTCTTGGACTTTTTAGAAACCTTGAGATGTCCTCTAACCAATCTTTTTTGTCTCATATCAGTTTTATATTCCATGCTCAAGTTATAAGCTTTTGGCAAAAAAGGTGTTTTTGTTGACTTTCAAAAATGACCTATAATGTCCAAATTTGTAACTTCTTGTGAATGCATTTCTTGATCTTGGGGTGTGAGTATGGATTGTAGGAAATTTCATCCTCTTCAAAAGGAGCTTTGGATGGGTCATTTCTCATAAAGTATGAGAAAGTTATGCTTGGTCAAAGTTGAGTTGACTTTTCCTACAAAACCCTAATTTAGCAACTTTTGAATGTTGATGAATTTTGAGCAATCCTTGATGAATCATGATCAACCCTTGATCAAATGATGAATTATCCTTAAAAATGAGAATGTTGGCAAAAAATCTTGAGGTTTGACTATTTGTAGGTCACAGTTGACTTTTGCCCTAGCACAGTCGATTTTGGACCTCTTGAGCAATTGACTGACCAAACTTCCTCTGCAAGGCTTGAAATTTGACATGGATGAACTTGAGAACACATTAGGACATTGGGGAGCACTTGAGACCATTTGTATGTGAGGACCTTGATGCAACACAAAACCCTAATTTTGACTTGACTGCCTTAGGAGGTGATTTGACTGTCCAACTCTTGAGCTATCTTGAACAACTTGGAGATGATTCTTGACATGTCTTGAGGAATATGGGAGGGAAAATTTTGGGGTACAACAGTATGATAACTGAAGAGAGTTACGATCTTTGTTCTCACATAGAGAGATGGACCCTAATAGCCTTGTAACTTGATGAGAAGAAGTCCAAAAATGAATCATGAACCAAAACCCTAATTCCACAGTCTTCCACACCAAGAAGAAACAGAATGATCAGTCTTGTTCAAAATATACGGCTCAAATAAGCTGTGAACCCTAGCTCCATAACTACTGATTTTTGAACCTCAGGTGCTCTATATTTTTTATGAAAATGCATTCTATGCACATGACCTATTGGAATGATGCAGATGGATGCAAAGGTCTAAGCCAAATAAAAGAAATTAGGAGGGAAATTTTTTGGATGCAACACAAGTTACTATGAAGCCTGGAATCCGACCAGATATCTGTTCAACTTCATCCTTTTAAGCAAGTTACTGTGAAGCCTGGACCTAACCAGATATCAATTTAACTTCATCCTTTTAAGTAAGTTACTATAAAGCCTGGACCCGACCAGATATCAGTTCA